CAACCAAGTAATAAAAAAATGCACCAAATATTCATACCTAGGGGATTTAATTAATGATATAGGAGGTTATAACGATATGATAAGAGTCTGAACTGACAAATGTAGTTTCATGATGAGGGAAATATTATCATGGGCAGAAGAGCAAAATTATGGAAATCATACTATATAGAAGCAAGAGTGAAATTATACGAATGCACAGTTTTACCTTCCTTCCTAAATAACAGTGAAACATGGACTTAATGGAGAAGTAAAAATGTTGGAGGATTTCCAAAATGAGTGCCTGCGCAAAATAATAATCACACAGAAAACGCAGAAAATGCATCGCATCGGCCCAAACTCCACGACAAATGGCGCTCTCGCTCATGGGCTCAATCTACGTGTACGAAGGTGCACTGCATGCAGTTTGGCATCGGCCTAAACTGGTACCCGGTCGACAGTTCCACACGCTACACTAACAGCGTCAGTGTAGCGAAGGATACTTGCCGGAGTGAAGCTGGCGAACGGGTACCAGTCTAGCATCGGCCGGGCATTTCATTATTTACGAAAAGTAAACACAGTCGGTATAGGAACTAGTCAAGTCGGTGACGCCACATTCATGCCTATCAACGAAGAAGGCGGGGCTTATTCTGATTACGGAGATGCAAAAATGCAACAAAAGTACGTAGCGCAGTGTGCTAAACGGCGTGTTATTTTCGTTTTTGTGGCAAACTCTATCGTAGAAAACCGTTCTAGCCTAGCAGAATGCCCTAGTTCCTGAGATCGGCGATCTCGTACTGTGATGGGTCCCCGCCTATAAAAATTTATAAGGGAGGTGTGGCGTAGGCTGTGATTGGAAGACACAAAGTGTCAATCCTCGGCTCGCCTCGGCATCATGGCCGCATCACGTCTAGACGTGTGCGTGTCGTGTTTTAGTTTTACCCGCACCTTTTCCAGGGCCTGCACTACCGGATCTGCACCGGTTTTCTTTATGTCCTTGATGAATTCCGTCATGTCGATGAAACTCTGCTTTAAGTCGTCCTCTGACATCTTAAGATTCCGGTTATGATACAGACAGTTCCTGATCTGTAAAATCTTCAAAGGAAAATTCTGGAAATCAGATATAGCTGCCACAAGACTATATCGCGGACTGAACCATGTGGCGTGCAAAATATGCATACGTTTTTGTATGCGTTGTTATTATTGTTATTATTATCATCATTACCATCATTATCATTACTATAACGAGCATCATCATCATCATCATCA